GGTGGGTGTGTCTGAAGCTTGGGGAGTCAACGCGAGCAACGCGACCAACAACCAATCACATGAATCTCCTGCCCCCGACATACAAAGCAAAAAACATTCCATGCTAGCTATGCCTGCTAGCTGTCCATTCAATGTTTAAACGAGGTACACTGGATATAAACTCCCCAAACAGGCGAAAACCTACCAGTTTCACCCACTATCTCTGCCACCTCCCTCCATGCCTGGCTCCTCCGGTTTGTATCCCGGTAGATGAACAGAGACTGATCATACAGCACCGGGTGATTCACTACCGCAATGATTATTTTCTCCTCCATTTTATGGAACATAGAAATGACCTCTCGCATCCTAGCTACCTAGGATATTGCAGCAGCAAATTGAAATCATTACTGGAAAAATGAAATAATTGTGTCAGCATGCACTGTTCACAATGTCCGTTAGCATTTTTCGTCATTTAGATGCTTCTTATGAGACTTGTGTTTTGTTTTGGTAAAAATGGTTTGTATCGTTAGTTAGCTGAGATTATTTCCATTAATCTGGTATAACTCATTAATAGGTTCTTAAATATTAAGATCCCCTGAGACACAGTGTCGTGAAAAAAAAAACCAGGGTCGGGTTTTAACAGGGTTTAACAGGTTAAAGGTCCCCTATTATATTGTTTTTCATTACTTTTTCTTATAGGTCTCAGATACAAAAGATGTCTCTGAAGTTTTTGGCTTGAAATACCAAACAGATCATGCATTGTAGCATCCCACAATCCCCTCTGTTTCAGGCCTGTTTCAAAAGTGCTGATTCTGTGTCTGTCACTTTAGATGAAAATAAGGAGCCACTCCCCACACCCCTCTGAGAGATATTTGGTTAAAAAAAACTCAATGGTGCTCTAAAAGGAGACTCAGGTGACAAAGTGGGCTGGGGGGGGTTACCTTGGTTTGTTATTGGCTAATGGTTACACAAGCCAAAAAATCGGTATGACATCATGAAGTGGCAAAAATCTGATCAGCTCATTTTCAGACAGGTTTTTATATAAATTATTTTAGGACAAAAAGTGAGGTAATCTTTTTTCCTGAAAATCTCAGAATCTCTTTACACAGAGGTGACACATGTTTATGTATAAAAGACATGCATAAGGGGATTTTGCATAGGTCCTCTTTAAGATAGCATAAAATACATAATTGATCCCCATGGAAAATATAGCAGTAAAGGGAACACAATTGAAAGGCAGAATAGGACAGGTAAGAGTTCACACAAGGATGAGTAAAAAGATAACATTTAAATAGCTTATAACTTTATCAGCATACATGCAATAGTAATCTGCATGACAACTAAAAAAGACATAAACAAAGGACAAAATAAGATATATTTCTTTGACCAATATTATTAGTATATACTTTATTCACATTTCTTTTTTATTTGCTTTCACTGACATTGATTCCTAGCCCATACAGATACATTCTCTCTAATCCGCACATTCAGTGACTGAACTGATCAGGGATCAGATAAATACCAGCGTAAAGGCCATTTCTATTGATCACTTACACATACACTTGGAAAGAGTTGAGATAACGTATGCATCTTGGAAGCGACAGAAGCATTTTATTTTATTTTAGGCACTGGTTTGTCTTTATTGAAGAAGCTGACAAAAGAGAGGTGAAAGGTAAGACAGTTTAAGGATCTGTATGAATCAACCTACCCTAATCACAAATTGAGGCTGGTCAACAACATTGTGTCTGACCCCAACCATGTCATGTAAATTGAATATATTGAGATACAGGGTCCAACAATTTAAGAAGGTTAGAATGAAGCATTCTTTAGTGCTGAAATCAAGAGCAAATGTCCTTTAAAGCAGTGGTTCTCAACTAATCAAGCCTCAGGACCCACTTTTTTCCTTCGCTAATACATCACGACCCAAGGGTCTGAAACACTCAAAATTATTTCACAACAAATAATGCAGTAATATACAGTCCCTCCAAAACTGTTGGAACAGCGTGGCCAATTGCTTTTTTTTTTCCTGGACACTTAAAACAATTAGGTTTGACATCAAAATATGAATATGAGACAAAAGGTCAGTATTTCAGCTTTTAATTCCAGGTATTTACATCTAGATCTGTTAAACAACTGAGAAGATGGCACCTTTTGTTTAAACCCACCAATTTCTCAAGTGAGCAAAAGTATTGGAACATGTTACTGACAGGTGTTTATTTGTTGCAGAGGTGTGTCCTCCTACATTGATTATTCAAACAATAAATAGCAGTGCATCTCTACTCTCAGTTTTAGATTTGGGTTTTGCCTGTGCAGACTGCATTTTCAGTTAAAATGGTGTAAGCAACATGAAGACTAGAGGGCTGCATATGGGGAAAAAGCAAGCCATTTTGAAACTGAGAGAAGATGGAAAATACATCAGAGCCGTTGCACAAACATTGGCCATAGCCAGTACAACCATTTATAATGTCCTTAAGAAGAAAGCAAGCATTCGGTGTACTGATCATCAGACTTCAAACTGGTAGACCAAGGAACACATCAGCAGTAGATTATATTGTGAGAACTGTAAAGAAATACCTCCAACAACCTCCGGAGTGAAGGTATCACAATCCATCGTTAGCAGAAGACTTTGGGAACAAAAGTACAGAGGCTACACCAGAAGATGCAAACCACTCATTAGCAATAAGAATAGGAAGGCAATATTTGAATTTGCCAAAAAGTGCAGAGACAAGGCTCAAAAGCTCTGGGACAAAGTTTTGCTGGACTGATGAGTCAAAGATGAACCTTTACCAAAGGGATGGAAAGGCAAACGTGTGGAGAAAGAAAGGATCTGCTCATAATCCCAAACACACAAGCTCATCTGTGAAACATGGTGGAGGTAATGTCATGGCTTGGTCTTGCATGGCTCCTTCTGGACGGGCTCATTGATCTTCATTAATGATGTAACACAGGATGGCAGCAGCAAAATGAACTCAGAAGTCTACTGAAACATTTTGTCTGCCAATTTAAAGAGAGATGCAGCCAAACTTATCGGGAGATCCTTCATCATGCAGCAAGACAACGACCAAAAACACACCACCAAAACAACCAAGGAGTTTATTAGGGAAAATAAGTGGAAGGTTTTAGACTGGCCAAGTCAATCTCCAGACTTAAACCCTTCTGAGCATGCATTTCACCTGCTAAAGAGGAGACTGAAGGGAGAAACCCCCTGAAACAAAAACAACTGAAAGAGGATCCGGTGAAAGCCTGGAAAAGCATCACAAAAGAAGAATGCAAAAGTTTGGTGATGTCAATGGGTTGCAGGCTTGATGCAGTTATTGCAAGCAAAGGATTTGCAACTAGTATTATTCACTTTTCACCCTATTTTAACACTAGAACCGCCAAAGGTCACTGTATACCTAAAACCGCCAATGGGTCAAATGTACCTGCTATTGATTTTCAAGGTACAATGTTCTTTTATTTATCATGTAGAACAGTGAGTTTTGATCGCACAGGGGTGAAACGTATACCAATAGAATCTGTGGACTCTCAGCTTTTCATATGATATAGTTTGTGCAGATAGCATGAAGTATAAAATATTGCTACCAGTGCTGATTTAAACGCTTGGTGTTAGACTCGTGTTTTGTTTAGGTACATATCTATCTATCTAACTATCTATCCATCTATCTTTCTCTATATACCTCTCTCTCTATCTATCTATCTATAAATGGCATTTTGTTGTGGCGATTTTTTCAATCTGACGTCATAATAACCATTTTTAACAACAGAGGGTGCTACATAACACACTTTCAGGAAAAGTTACGGTTTGGGAGACTTGAATATTTGATTGAAAAAAGTTACATACAATCAAAAAACAGCTGCGGATAAAATTGACCCGTTGGCGGTTCTAGTGTTAAACGTTCAACCTTTACAAATTCTCATTTTACTGAAGAATCTTACGTGAGCTGCATGTTGCAATCTCACACGATGTGCTTTGTCCTTTAGAATGCAGAGCTATATCCATGGGGCAAGGGCAGGAAGTGCATGCAAGGAAGCTTGTTAAGACGTCAATGACGCATGTATGTATTGGTTAATGATAGTAGTACGTTGTATGAATAAAGTGATGGCTGACCATTTCACCCTATATGTGGCTTCTGTATCTTGATGTGTGTAGGGGGGCTGGGCCCTTCTGCAAAATTGCCATCTGGGCCTGGAGTTTATGGAGGAGTTGCTGGAAACCATTACAACTGCTGAGACCATGCATGATTCCTTCAGGGTTTGGATCACCACAGAGCCAAATGAGTTTTTCTCCATCACACTACTACAGGTGAGACTTAAGTTATTATTGAAGGTGTTGTGTGAAAGTGTAACTTCATGTATTACTTTTTTTCCTGACCTTACCCCTACAAATACTGTGGTGTACTTACATACAGTAGATGCACAAGATTAAAGCAATTGTTTCTCCCCCCTCCAGTCTTCCATCAAGTTTACCAACGATCCACCCCAAGGAATTCGTGCTGGTTTGAAACGTACATTTGCAGGGATTTCCCAGAACCAGTTGGAAGTCAGCAACCTGCCCATGTGGAAGCCAATGCTGTACAGTGTGGCATTTCTACACACTGCTGTGCAGGTACTATCCATTTGAGACTCATGGATTAAGTAGAGCAGGGATGGGCAACTTGGATGGTGTTGGTGGGGGCCACATAATTTATGTACTGGCCACCAGGGGGCAGCAGATTTACTTGGCACACACACACACAAATTAGTAGT